TCGCCGAGTCTCCCGAGAGCCTGTGCAAGCTTCTCTCCAAAATGTCTTACACCTCTACACCCTCAACAAAAGATTCCAACATCCTCGAGGTTGCTATCCCCCCAACCCGAGCTGATGTCCTTCATCAATGTGACGTGATGGAAGATCTTGCTGTGTGCTACGGATACAACAACCTTCCTCGTACTGCTCCTTCACGAAGTGCTACTGTTGGCGCCCCCCTGCTGGTCAACAAGCTCAGTGATATTATCCGAATTGAGGCCGCCGTTGCTGGCTGGAGTGAGGTTATGCCCCTGATCTTGTGTAGTCACGATGAGAACTTCGCTTGGCTAAACCGCAAGGATGACGGAAACACCGTCGTACGTCTGGCCAACCCCAAGACCGCTGAGTATCAGGTTGTGCGATCAACTCTTCTACCTGGCCTTCTCAAGACCATTCGCGAGAACAAGGGCCATAGCGTGCCCATGAAGATCTTCGAGGTCTCTGACGTTGTTTTCAAGGATGAGTCTCAAGAACGCAAGGCTCGCAACGAGCGACATTTCGCCGCCGCCTGGTATGGCCGAACAAGTGGTTTCGAGGTGGTCCATGGCCTGCTTGATCGTGTTCTTCTCATGCTCCGAACTGCTTTCCTCACCCACGAGGAGGGTCTTTCTGGCAAGAGTGTCGATTTTGAGGTAAAGGAGAACCCTAGCAAGCCTGATGGTTACTGGATCGAGGAGCTTGACGATGCCACCTTCTTTGCTGGCCATGCTGCTTCCGTATACCTGCGTCTTGGTGGGAAAGAGAGACGCATTGGCGAGTTCGGCATCTTGCACCCTACCGTGTTGGAGAAGTTTGATTTGAAGTGAGCCGCCATGCCGACCACTATCGACGTGACATCGCTAACATGTTCATAGATACCCTGTCAGCACTCTCGAGATCAATCTCGAGGTCTTCCTGTAATGTCAAGAATCTAAAGAAAACCTACAGCACGAGGGTTAGAGCAGCAAAAAAGGGCTACGCGCAACGAAATCATGTGGATATGATTCAATGTGAACAAACACGCTTCCGCAACTAAGAAGACTTTTCAAGATAGACAAAAATAAAGAAGAAACCAAACAAGACCGGATGTTTAACTTATGAGTGGCCAAAGGTTTTGATTTACTGCACTCTATAACTACCTACCTAATTCATGTAGCCTTAAAGGAGTCTATTGCTGTCTAAATCCTCCCCGTGTACCCCGTGATTGGCGTGAAATCAGACGTCATCACCACTCAAGTTAAACGCCAATACCGGCTCATGATGTTTCTAACGCCAACAAAAACGTCCGCATGTGTAATCAGAAAACCAAGTTTGACAACTCAGACATCATGAGCCCGAATGCTCTGCCTACATCTCGGAATTTGCCATCCCACGCCTCTGCCCATCAGATTTGAAAAGGACTCTCTCGAGCTTTGCCACAGGTTTTGGCATTTCAATAGTTGGAGAGTGACACGGTGTCGGCAGACCCGCATCGGGTTGGAGACTATCAATGGAGTTAAGTTTTGAGCGAAGGCCCATAGACTCAGAGTCGCGCCGCTTGATATACTCCCATTCTCCACTGAGATCGCTGGGTACACTGTAGAAGCTACAGCGCTCAAGCGTTGACGGTGCGTCAGACTCTGTTGTCAGAAGCGGCGGTGCTACGGGCGGGTGTAGCCAGGGACAACAGTGCCGCACGGATTCATGGGTCTCGACAATCAAGTAAGGGCCAGGATCCGACTCTGGAAACATGACCTTCTATGTCATCTCACGTAGCTCCTGGTCGCTACGAGCTGGTGCGGGAGCTGAACTTGACGATGATGTTGACTCGCCAGTATTTGTAAGTTGCCCCAGCATTCCCTTGCCTAGATTGAGACCTGCAATCCCGTCCCTGATAGCGGCAAAGGCGTTACCGCTTGGTTCGGTAGATGCGCTCCGTTCGATTGGTGCATGCCGTGATTCAGGGGTGAGTGTCTCGTGGGCAGTCTCAACTCCCGTGAGAACCGAGGGCGGCCCCGACTTGGAGCTTGAACTGGATGACCGCGGATCGGCATCTGCTTGGATAACGCTAGGATAGTGTAAATTTGATATGGCGGTTTGGCGGTCAGTCTCTGCTACTGCAGCGGCGTTCAAACCGCCGTTCATCTCATCCTCAGTTCTTCCGAACAACTGATGCCACCATCTTATCTCCTTCAGTCGCGGTAACAAGATCCGCTCCTGTCCTTTGACGTGATCGTCGACACTGGCATCGAAGTCGGGGTTTGTGAACTCAGCTCGCCGACACAGAAAGTAATCCCAAACGGAAGACGTCCGTTCTGCAGCTCTCGCATCTTTTCTCTGCTTCTCTGAATTAAAGAGGAAAGTGCCGTACTGACACGAGTACAGGTGGTATAGCAGGCGGCGCAGGAAGCGCTCGTTATACTCAAAACGAGTCTTGTTTTGGCGTAGGAGTTGATAGGTGCAGTCAAGAAACTGGTGAAAGACGGGACTAACCATCTTTGGAGAGGTGGCTTCATCGTCAACAACCTTTCCAGGGGCAGTTTCACTAACCGCAGCCAAGTCGGGGTCATCTTTATTCTGGTTGAAGAAACGCTTCGCACCACTCAACACATTTTGGAACGCGTCACCTCGGCCATCGTTCTCTCCGGGCTGTACCTTGGAACCCGCAAAAGCATCCCTCTGCACGGTGAACCAATCCTCGTGATTCAAGTGACCCGATCGAAGCCTAAACATATGACCAAAAGACAACCAATCCTTTTCCACAAGAACAATGAAACCCTCAATTGTGCGGTAGTAGGGGTCCAGCATAATTTGGGCCAAAGCACTGAGCTGGCTTGTACGGTCCCAGCCATCGGAGCAGTGGATGAGAACATGTGAATGGTTGATTCCGATCTGTCTTGCAATTATAGCTGAGCCATCCAGAACATCGTGAATGTGCCGTAACCAGCCACTCTGATGGAGCAGCTCTCTGTTTGGTGGTAAAGGTGAAATGTCGGCGTCTTTGAGTGCGTCAATGACCTTGTTGAGGGAGCTTCGCATGACGTGAATATTCTCAATACTGAGGAATATCTTGCGTGCAAACTTGTACTTGTCCATATTTTCCGAGCCCATTCCTTGTACTTGATTCACCATTGCATTGATAGTAGGACGAGCATCCACAATCAAGTTGCTCTGCTGCGCACCATATACTTGACGCTTCCCGGAAGAATCATAAACGGCAACGGACCTCGAAATGAGCTCATCTTCATATCGTTCAGTCTCCGAAAGCTCCGGCTCCAGTGATGAGTTTCCAAGGGAGACATCGGGCTGGCTCGATAGAGGCGTGCTTTCCTCGGACCCTGGCGGCAAAAGGGCGTTAAACGATGCAGCTACTAGTTTCTCATCTTGCACGTTTGTCTTCCTTGTGATGCCGACGAGGGGCTGTGAGCTTCGAGTGATGGTACAGTTGTTCACTGGATGGATGTATGACAGAGCCGGCACACGGTTTCTCGAACGGAACTCCTTCGCATATTTGAGGACATTGTCCGAGATCTTGGAGGGAACAACCAGAAAAGCAGGATATGTATCACAAAAGGTATAGTCCTTGTTGATATGCGTGATCCTCCAACCTTTGTCAGGCAATTTCTCGCTGATGCCTTGGCGTCTGAACTCTGCTTTTGGATCATAGACCGACCAACCGTCAACCTCTCGCTCATGCCTTAAAGGCTTGTGGGAGAAAGCATAGAGCTTCTCTACTGTTCCTAGTTTGCAAGTCCGAGACTTGATAAAATCGAATGCTTCTCGGGCAGTCTCGCTGTCGGTGAAGTTGAATGTCACAAATGTGAAGTCACGACATCGCAAACGGATCGATGGAGCCTGGCGAGATCCAGGTGGCACCGGCCGAAGTGCGCAATAGCACAGCATGGGATATGGAATCCATCTCTCGCGAACTTTGGGCTTGTGAGACGAACTTTCTGAGGGTTTGGCGGATTGGTCGATGGGTGCGCAGAATACCAGGTGGAAATCGGTCAGTCGCAAAGTGCCATGAGTTGCTTGGCCGCCATAGATACCCTGGACGCTCTCGATGATCTACATGACGTTAGGAGCCGAGACGCAGCGCAAAGTCGTGCATCAACAGGCGGGATGCTCTAAACGGCGACTAGAACCGGACGATCACGCGTACCTTTCGGGCTTCCATTTTGGCAAACCGTGGCCTTGCCGCCTTGTATTCGTTAGAGGGCAAGATATATCTCTTCGTAGAATTTGTGTTGTATCAATGATCTCTTTGTATGTCCGTGTGGACGATTTGTCGGAAGCTCTGGTGATGTAGTAGAGGTAGCTCAATATCGCGGGGCCGCCGGAAGATGAAGAAGTAGCTGTTGCAAGGCGACCTTAGAGGGGAGGTTATGAGACGGACTCTGACATATTTGTCACTTCCAAAGTAAGAAAAGTTATACGCGCATGGGGTAAAACCTTGGCCTCGACCTTGAGTATTAAGAGATGGGAGTTTCTTTTAGAGCCGAAGACAGCTCACACTCATCATCACGAGCCACAGGCGCCCACTTAGCATTAGGGAAGGTACATACCTATGTATGGCAGGAGGGGCTCAGCGCTGTCAGCTACCAAAACAGACCGCGACGTCACCCCAGAGGTCAGAGCCATGGTCCAAGCACTTTCCCCATTTTGGGCTACATGGGATCTATCTCGTTAATTCTGTTTCTCCGTTCTCCGATGGAGAGAGAGAGACGGGGAGGATATAGGTAGGTACGTACACATGTCCTCCCATGCGAGACCCACATCTCCAAATGGAATGTGCGACCTGGGTCCCGCCTGCCGATTTTAGGGCTTCAACCACACACCAAAAATATTGAGCGGGTAAGCCAACATTTGTGAGTGCAGTGAAGCCGAAATCCACCCAGGATCGCGAATCTTTCTCTTCAGCCCGCCAACCTCAGCTCGCCAACAGACTCAAGACAAGACACCAAGTCAAGTCCAGTCCCGACAACACAAGTCCTATTTCCAAGATGGCTCACCCCGGATCTCAGATGTGAGTTATTGTCCTTGCAATTGCGAACTCCTTCTCGATCGAATCGAAACATGGCCATCGCCATCGTCACCCCGCCAAACGCCGTCCTCTCGTCAGGAAAAGTCGAGTCAAAGGTCCAAGATTCACTAACAATCTTCTTCACAGCTCCAAGCGGAGAAAGTTCGTCGCCGACGGTGTCTTCTACGCCGAGCTCAACGAGTTCTTCCAGCGCGAGCTCGCTGAGGAGGGCTACTCCGGCGTAGAGGTCCGCGTTACCCCCACCGTCACCGATATCATCATCCGAGCCACCCACACCCAGGAGGTTCTCGGCGAGCAGGGCCGCCGCATTCGCGAGCTCACCTCGCTCATCCAGAAGCGATTCAAGTTCCCCGAGAACTCCGTCTCGCTCTATGCCGCCAAGGTCCAGAACCGTGGTCTCTCCGCCGTCGCTCAGTGCGAGTCCCTTCGATACAAGCTTCTTAACGGTCTCGCCGTCCGACGTGCTTGCTATGGTGTCCTCCGTTTCATCATGGAGTCTGGCGCCAAGGGTTGCGAGGTTGTCGTCTCCGGTAAGCTCCGTGCTGCCCGCGCCAAGTCCATGAAGTTCACCGACGGCTTCATGATTCACTCTGGTCAGCCCGCCAAGGACTTCATCGATCACGCTACCCGCCATGTTCTCCTCCGACAGGGTGTCCTGGGTATCAAGGTCAAGATCATGCGCGGCTCCGACCCTGAGGGCAAGGCCGGTCCCCAAAAGACTCTCCCTGACGCCGTCACCATTATCGAGCCTAAAGAGGAGCAGGCTGTCCTCCAGCCTGTCAGCCAGGACTACGGCGCTAAGGCCGCCCAAGCCGCTCAGGCTGCTCAGGATGCTCGTGTTGCTGAGGAGGAGGGTGGTGATGAGGTCCAGGCTGTTGAGCAATAGGATGCTTAAATCACCAGGCTGGAAATAGCCGCCAAAACCTGATGAAGGAAAGATGGAGATCCGTGGGATGAGAGACGGAGGTCTACTCAGGCGTCAATTGATCATTTGCATCTGCTAAGGGCACGGACGGTTTCATTCTTGCTTGTAATGGTAGGCAAAGCATAAAAGAGAAAAAAATGAGACCCCAAGATTACGACGACACGTCTTGTGACTTTGTCTTCTGTCTATCAACCAACACCTTGAGTACCTCTGAACGACTTGGAAGTCTTCTTTGAACTGAGTACGTGAATGCTTCGTAGACAGTGAAGGCTGGCTTGATAATAACGAGTTGACATCACTCAAGTCTACTCATCACGCTTGCTTGTCTCTTTCTAGTGTGCTATATATTCTCATGCTATTGCACAGCACAACTCGGGGATCATCGTAACCACAAATTTATAAGGCAGTCCATCATGCCATTTATGGTCATCTGTGTCCTACAAAGAATCTCAGATGCTGTGTTTGGGTTTGGATATTTGTCGATCTTCAATCATGTAGCGGTTTGAAATAAACAGCCGTGTTTAGAGATGTTGTCAATAATATCTCACTCCCTTGTTGAGCATCTCAATTGGCTTATAGAATTGGCCAATGAACGGATTGTTCTGGCCACCCCACATCATCGTTCACAACGAACCAAATACCTTACTAAGCAAATCTCGGATGTAGCTGGAGGTAACGGCAAAGAGAACCAAATATAATCAGGACTTAACATGCAAGCTAATAAAATCTTATGTTTGCGAGATACATTTCCACCTGCAATTCCAATGTAATAAACGTCGTAATAATTCTTGTCTATAGCAGGTAGCCTCTGGCTTTCCCTCTTTTCTTGTTAAAATTCAAACTTGGCTTCCTCGAACTTGGAAAAAGCCATGTGACTTGGACAACAGATCTACCACACCCAAAACGTTCGTTCATGCCCCGGAGAATTGAGGCAGTGATATACGCCCCAAATCGCCTTTTCATCGCCCGATAGACGGAGACAGTGACGCCTCCTTGGATCCGAAACCATCCCGGTATAAACGGCCCTGATATGGAAGTTCGCCGTCCAGTCCCATCCTATCGCTCATGCTCTGTGGTTATCGTACAACGAGGATTCGCCTGTCACCCCAATACAAAATCCGCCAACGCCGTCCAAGACCGTGTGCCCATAGTACTCCAGTGATAGGAAACAATATATGTCGTCGATTCCGAGTCCCAATTCCGTTTGGCATAGGCAAAACACAGTTGGCACCAACATTAAACTATGTCGTTGCGTAATGTACCATTCGCGAGTGCAGCCCATACTCCGAGAGAAATGCCCGGTCAAATGGTTTGAAAATGTACAATGCCTGTTTGAGATAATGAAACATGCAAGATATCGTTTGCGGAGCCGATGACCGGTGGTTAACCGATATTCTTTTACTCCGCCATTACGTTGCTGGAAACGTCGCAGACCATCACCGATCGCCTGATTTGTGGCGGTTATCGAGCTCGATGTTTTCGTCATAGCTCGCTTTGCCATTGCCGTTGGCATGCCGGGCATCTTCGTCACTATCCGAGGCGAGGTCGGTCAGAGCGAAACCAGCAGCTTCTTCCTCGTCGTATGCGCGAATTAAACCCTCGCGGTCTCCACGTTGGCTGCTCATGCTGTGTCGTGAGGGATCGCCGCTCCTCCTTGCCTGCATGCTCAGACGAGTTTGTAAACCAGAAACCATGTCGGTACCGGTGGCGTCGCTTCCTCCTCGTCCAGCGGTCAATCTTTGACCATGGGGGTCACCCCTGGAAAGGTTCAGGAGATAGACGCCCGTAAAAGTGACCAAGAATCCGCAAAGCAGCGAGAGGGTGTTGACTGGGTCGTTCGTGTTGAATCCACTGAAGAGGATAAAGGAGGCACAGAGGGTGGCGGTGGTGAACGTTACGTAGTAGAGAGGGTTGACACTGGCACTCCTGTCAGTAAAGGCCAATTGTTATAACTCCGTAAGCCACTTACATGTTGGTGGGAAAGCTGGCAAGAGCTTTGTTGAAGTAATTCATCTGAGTCACAATGCATACGGCCGTTAATATCATGAAAACGTATGTCGAAGGGTGGCTGAACTGGTTATGGCCAGCAAAAGTAAGCTTAAGCGCAATACCAAAAGCCTTGACAGACATGACTGAAATGGATCCGACGGTGGAGCAGATGGAAAGATAAATGAGGGCGTTTCTCCTGCCATAGACAGGGGCGATCTTGTAAATCATGAAGACGGCGAAAGCAACAACGGCGAAGGCGTAGAGAAGAAAACCTGGTATCCGTTTTAGAAACTACCATCCTCGTAAATATGCTTCTTGTGTACGAACCTGGCTGAATTGCGTAGTGCAAGATCTCGTCGACGGTCTCGATCTCCTCATCCGGAGGCGCATGAAGAACAATAATGACAGCGCCAATCAGGCATATAGCACTGCCGAGCTTGCCCAGCGTACCAAGCTCTTCGTTGAGGAAGTACGAGCCAAGAACAGCGCCAATGAGCACACTGAGAGCTCCAAGAGGTGTGACAAGGATAGCAGGGGCGAAAGCGTATGCGGCAAAGTTGCAGACTTCTCCTAGACCAACTAATTTTATGTTAATGAATATGTCAATGGGAATCATGTCTGATAGAGCACTTACGAGTCGCAATACCGGCCCACCACAGGGGATTCCGAAGGTAGACAAAGCCGTCGCCTTCAAAGCCGTGTCGCTCTTCTGCTTGAATCAAACCCTAGGAGGTGGATTAGTTTATGCTTAAGGCGAGATGCAGAACATGGCGCCAGCCGCTGAAGCAACGATAGAATTCGCCACTCGCACAGACAGACAGTAGCTATATTGGACGAACCTTTTTTGTAATAACGAAGCTTGTTCCTGAAATATGGTTAGACTTGTGACGCCCCCAATGTAATCAAACATGACTTACCAATCGCCAAAGCCGATGTCATAGCAAGAGCCAGTCCGACATACCTTGAGGCAATATTAGCAGTTGTAGTGAGAATAGCGTAGTCGGGTTACAAGAAGGGCCCAATCGAGGTGGCTTCTCAGGAGGAGGCCAACAGAAGTGGAACGCGACATACTTGTCTTCAATCATGATGTTTTAGAGAGCGCACGACAGCGACGAAGCGCACAAAGTCGACTTTCTATAGATGTGCCCAATGCTCTGAAAGCGACAATCCGAATCGAATAACGGTTTGGGCAGAATGCGCCGCAGAGAGTCGGAGCTGAACTGAAAGGATCGTTCACTATTGGCGTGGGCTCGCACCGGGCGAGAGAAGCCGTATAGCAGTAATGAGTGTTGAAACGAGCGAGTGCAGATGAATCGGGCTCGAGTTTATTGCAGACACATCAAAATATCGCTATAGGCTCCTCGTTGGGAAAGTTAAATCGAGATTGGAGCTGTAGCCGCGTGGACGACTGCAGAGTCTTGATGTTGGCTGGAGATGGAGGGGGAACCAGGCGTGCTGTTGCTGTTGTAAGGAAGCGATTTGCGACGGAACAAGGTCGGTTTTAGGGTATCGTATGGTCCAATTATTGCCGAATCCGTTATTGCCTTCGTATCTTGACCAGCGTGAGACTCGTGATGCGCAACGACGGTATTCGCAAAAGGCAGGGGGGCTTTGAATAGGAAGAAGGGACAGCTTGGCTGGATTGTAAGTAAAAATGGAGAGGCTGCAGCAGCAGTGCGGATGGGATGAGATACAGTACAGTACATACGTATGCCCTGCGCTGTGCTGTGCTGTAGGTACTAAGTCTACCTAGGAGGTAAGCGGTTGACGGGTATGGGTCAAGTCCAGTTCGTGTGGGAGAGACAGAGACAAAGTTTGGGGAGGCCAGATCAGACCCAACGAGACCAGACAGGGGCCTGCTAGCTACAGGCTACGGGAGGCTTGGACAAAACCAGCAGTGGAGAAGCAGAAAAGGCTGAGGTACCTGGGCAGAGGTGAGATTATAGTGCGCTGACAAGTACCGCCAGCTGAATCAGGCACAGTAAAGTTCAAGAGGTTTCAAGAGAGGGCGCCAACAGAGGACAATGGATCCATCCACTACCCCCTGGCGTCAGGTCCATGACCCTGGCGTTACAACTTAGACTCACTAAGGTAGACTCAGCTCAGAGAGCAAGAAAACATCGGACCCTGAGATAGGATGCCAAATTAAACTCAGCAAAGAGTCCCCTAAGCTTGGGCCAAGCTTGCCCAAGTATTTTCTCTCTCAAGGTCAAGGTCCTGAATTTTCTTTTCTCCCCTTGACTCACTAACACTTCAGAGCCCTCAGGACTCAAAAAGAGGTGCCCTGAGGTGGGGATCCTGCCCAAGGTCAAGTGCCTGAATGCCTGCACTTTTTTTTCTTTCTTGCATCTGACGACACTTCATTCCACGATCCAGTTATTTTATCCAAGAGTCTCCGAGAAACTAGTGACTAGCAGCCCGTAAATAAAACAAACCACTGAAATACGGCAACTTTAGGGAAACTCGGCACAGACACGAGCGTCGAAACACTGCAATTGCATTGGGTTGCCTAATAACTTCCGCTGATTTTTGAAGTACTACCTTACCATACATATTGTCCTGTTCTCAGATGCTAAAGCCGAGGCTTAGACGGCACGATACGACACAACCACAGCAAAACACGATACGATCTGATGGGTGCGAGTGGTTCTCACCCCTGAACTAATACTGACACGCACACAAGTACGCTGGGCATGCAGCTATCAGCTACAACAGACACTTAGGTTGCATGATATTCCCCAATATCACATTTACTTCAAATAAGCAAATACGTACCTGTTATGTCAGTGGGATTGCCGTATTGCTTAGTTCCCCAGAATATCGTTACTCTCGTCAGTTTCTTTGGAAAGGACCTCCAGGTTTCTCATGCATACCTACTAAAGTTAGAACTCATATTAGTAGTTTGTAAGTTTCTATTAGATACAAACCAAGCAAGTACTGGTACGGAGTATCAGATACACGACTCTGGTGATGCTCGTAAACTTTTACTCCCTGCCCCTGTACACTCAATTCACTTCCATTACTAACTTAGCGCTTCCGACTGCTTGATTCAAGGGGGACGGACGATAAGCCCCTTGCTTCTCATCATCTGCTTCTTACTCGCCATCTTTCGGCTTTAACCCCTGGCCTCGTCTCCATTTCCAGCCCATCAAGTTCGTCCTTGTCCCGCTACCTGTCCTCGTCCACGTCAGCATCCCGCATCTTAAGCTCCAAACAGTCCTTGATTTTTTTTTGGGGGGGGGGGAGAAATGTTTTTTTTTAGCATCCGCAGTTCGGTAGTGCCTCGCTCGCTCCGCTGTAACAAAGATCGAGAACTTCTCAACAGCGCCTCCCGTGCGCCACATTTAATAGTTTTCGGTGTCTGAGCCACGTTCCATAAGTTATCTTTCACTGAAGCAGTTACGAGAAACTGCAACAAATATATTGTTATGGCGGATAATATCTCGCCGTAACTGAATGACTGAATGAATGAATTCGAAAATACAACTTGGGCTGATATTGTGGGCTATTATTAACACATCAACCCTACTCTTCATCTTGTTCCTGATCGACACTCTTAGCGCTCAACTTAATCAACCCCTAACATAGCCGACACCTTCCAACAGGGATCCATGACGCCCTTTAATGCTACGGGTGACTCGGCGCTGGAAACAAGTTAATAACTTATAGGGATCAATGCTCATCACTAAAGTGTTTCGATCATCTGTTTCTGTTTGGCGATTACTACCTGGCCAAACCCCTTCGCCATGATTATCATGATAATCCAGATCACAGTATTTATAGAATCTTAGCGACCAGATCTCAAAATAGTGCTCTCATCAAGTGAATCACCTAAAGACTGTCCAGGACCCTACACCAAACGCCTTCAATGGCCACCTAACCCAGTAGAAGGCTTATATTGGTTGCTACAAGTAGCCCGCCCCCGACTACCTAAAGTGTAGGTAGGTAAGTACGGATAGGTAGAGTATAGATCCACATCAGAAATGCTGTCCGTCGCAACTATCTCCCACCCTTCACTATAACTTCAACTCCAAGCACCGTTCACAGCTTTGAGTTTTCCCTCCGGTCCAGCCGCCAACGCCTCATTCCATCCCACGAACCATATCATACAGAACCAGAGCTAATCCATCTGTTCTCTTACCAACCAGGATCGTGCATTTTGTTCTTATATTATTATTTTGAAAGAAAGCGGAAAGGGTATCGACACTTGCGTCATCAACAATCGGGTGTGAAACAAAACAAAACAAAACAAACGACTATGTTGTCGATGGCCGGAGTCAAGCTCGATCTCATAAAATGCAGAAACGCATAAGACCTTTCTTTTCCCTACAGAATTAGTAGATGTGGATTCATTCTTACCTACCCAGAATCCGCTGGTATGGGTGTATGTGACCCATATTGTGTCGCTTAGAACATGTTGCATTCTTACCACCAGGAAAACTTCTGCGACAATAGCGTTAAGAACAACGACACAGGTCAAGGACCTGACTGTCGAGTTCAGATAGCCACTGGGCATCATATTACCGGCAGCTGTTGAATTTTAGTTATTGAAGAGGGGGCTGTTTGGCGATATTGGAGAATGTTGCGGTTAGTTTGGAGGCGAAATCATTCAAGGACGACGGCGCTTGGCATCTGAATAACATTAGTCAACATTGCAACTTAGCTGAGGATCCTCCTTAACGCACCTTGCTCATCCTCTGCATTTACATCATCGCCATCACCACGGGCTCGTTTACCAGTAGCCGAAGGAGTGCTTGGTGCTTGCTCTTTTGGTTCATGTTCATCTCTCCAGTCGATTTCGTCCAGGTCGTCGCCGTCGGTCCTCCTTTTCTCGGCTATCTCTACTGTTGCAGAGGCCACTCCGAGGTCAACGTTGAAAGAGGACGCTTCCTCCTCCTCTTGAAGAGTGGCTGTAGTGCTCGTGTCATTAGTTTGAGCATGGAGTGACTCTGGCTCCGCATCAGCATTGACCTCATCCTGGGTCTCCATATTCTCTTCAGGAGCGACATCTCCATCGAACTCGGCTTCCTCGGCTTCTTCGTTTAACTCGAAATTGGCAAATGGGTCAATCTCGCTGTCAGCTCGTGCTGGAGTAAATTCGTCAGTATTATTGAAAGAATACGTTGTGCTGAAGTCAGACAGGGAGCGGTGATGTTTGGGTTGACGGAAACGGAGATATTGTACTTCGGGTGAAAGAATTTGCATGGTTCCGTAGTTGCGCTTGACAGTTTTCCGGAATTCTGCTTCATCTTTATTATGATCTTCGACATACTCCGCCACACAGGGGGCACATAGGCAGAAGTCGGGGTAATAGCAAGAGAGGAAAGTGGAAGAGAATGAGGTCGTTTTACCATTTTGCTCAAGGCCATCTTCATCGACAGCCGTAAGGCTGTCAACGGCGGTCTCCGGGTCCTCCGGGTCCTCCAAATCAACGGCAGAAGCATTGACTGATATCTCAATCTGAGTTTCGGTTGCAACATTGATATTGTCTCGATCATCTTCATCATGGCCATCGACTTCCTGGTCTTTGAACTCTTGACCCTCAGAGCCAATGGCATTGGGGTTCGCATGTTCGTCTTCCAGATATTCATCCTCGTTTTCTGCTTCATCTATGTCGCTGTGATGTTCGTCATCAATTGGGCTGTCGAACTCGTCCAGTTCCTCGTGAACGCCATCGATAGTCGCAGCTGTTTCCAGCATACTAGTTCCAGCAGTCATGGGAGTCTCGAAGAGATGGATAACTTCATCAAGCCCCTTCCCTGCCGTAGCACTCTCGACGAGATACTCGAAGCGCTTTTCTGCGTTGGGTTTAGTAAAAAGATAGGCATACAGTGGGCGTGAGCCATCTGGGTCCTGGTTCTTGACAAGAAGGTCGAAAATTTCTAGAATTTGACGGAGTGTAACGTTCGACATGGTCTCGCCTTGGGTTGTCTGTTTCAAAAATGTTAGCGCATTCTTGATATAGCTCAAAACCTTTTCTCACCTCAACAAGTTCGAGGCCAAGCTCATCGACCTGGAGTACCAAATCATCATCCTCGGCAATCTCATTTTCAAGCTCACTCCGAAGGCCAGAAATCAACTTCTCAAGTGGCTCATCAAGAACCGAGGTATCGGCAAAGAAACCATGGGTGGTGGTGGAGAACATAGGAAATTCGTCTCCTTTATACTGTACCGTTATAGCAGGAAAGCCCTCATCTGTCTTCTCATTCAAATCTTCTCCAGTAGCTGAGTGATCCACATGATCCGTATCAGTGGCTGCGCGTTCGTCATTTGCATCTGCGACATGTTCACCCACGTCGTAATCCTGATCTTCAGCTTCCTCGACAGCTTCGGCTGTTTCTTCATTTTGCCCTGATGTCAAGGTAGTGGTTTCTTCATGACTATTCGCAACTTCTCCATCGTGTATTTCGTCGTTATCACCGGATGCGTGGGTATTCTCACCGCTGAACTCATCTTCCGTGGCATCCTCGACTTCAGCTTCACCAGTCACAACCTCATAATCAGACTGATCTTCTTCTTTGTCCTTAGGATCGTGAGGCTCATTTTGATCATTGTGGCTTGATATGTCATTCTCGTCTCCAGTGTGATCAGAAAACTCTTGTCCGGTTGCAGTAGCATCATTCTCAGGTTCGTGATCATCTTGCTCTTCAGCTGCACCGACTGCTTCGTTTAGATCAGACCTTGTTGCATGGATTGCGGCAGCTGTTTTCTCATCTTCATGCGAGTCTTCTGGTGCTGCATTGTCCTCAAATTCATAATCAATCTCATGCGCAGATGCATGATCGTCAGACACCGCATCGCCACGAACGATTATTTCATCCAGAATGTCTACATTCTCTTCGCTTTTTGGCACGTCTTCGTTGGGTGACTGAGCTGTTTGTATCGATCCCTGAGTCCCAAGCTCAGGAGCCTCAATCACTTCAGAACCCACATGTTCGGGGCTGTTTGTCGTATCCTCGACATCATGTAGGTCGAAGTCCACATCCTCGCCCGTGATGCCGTTCGTCTCGTAGGCTTCATGATTCACAGCGTCCTCATCTTCTTGCATTTCTCTATCCATGCTCTCCAAGTTGTCATCTTTCTTTTGCAGGTCATGATTGGAATCAACCATGTCGGTATCGAAGTCGATGAGATCGTCCTCACTTTTACCGTCCAAGATTGGCTTGGTCATATCAATGTCCATTTCGATCTCCGTCATGTCTTAGGATTTTGTTTGGCTTCTTCAGAGCCGGTGCTTCGGGTCGATTTACGTGAAAGAGAGTTGCTGTGAGGAGAAATCGAGTGCTCAACGCGTTGAAAGCAGACAGAATTGAGGTATTGAGGGAAATTTACGTGCCGAAGGGTGGCAGCTTGCGCGCGTCGGGATGAAATCGTAAATGTGGTGGTTTGAATCAAACAGACAAAGACCAAGCTTGGCTAGAAATGTAATTTGGGCTGGTATGCGACATTTGATCCAGGTTGGTGAGTGTGTTTGATAAAAACGAAGAACTCCCACGCGCGCCGTTCCTACAGTGCTGGAGTTTTTATTTTGGCTTGTCCGTGAAAGAAAAACGTAAAATAGGGAGCCTTTGTTAAGGTGGAAGTTGAGGAGAGTATATGGACTAGGCAGGCAAGCTCTCTAAGAATGAATTTCGTTGGTGATTAAGCAGTGGGACCCAGAAAGGCTGAGGTGAGGTGAGTGTCAGGGAGGCAAGAGGCTGAAGCTTACCTAAAAAGAGCTAGCGTGGGGTAGCTGGCTGCTGGGCCGTGCTGTTCTTTCCCTTCCACTAGGTTCGTAGCAACAGCTCCTGGGCTCCTGGCTTCCAGGTGGCCGTAAGAGGGGTACGTACCTCTTCAGGCTCCTGCACCTCCCACCGACTTGAATATTGGCCCGCTCTATCTAACATCCAGGGGACGAGCATTCAACAACTTGCAACTCTCATCGCAATCAAGAAACATCTGCTCGAATTAGTCCGCCAAGATGGTGCGCAACATCTACCACTATCACCCCTGCTTACATCATGTACTCATGCTCCCTAGGTCGTCCTTGCGGCTTCGATTTGCACCCGTGGAGGGAAAGCTGTCCTCTCGAGACAGTTCCGAGAGATGCCACGATCGCGCATAGAAGCCCTCCTCGCCTCGTTTCCCAAACTTGCCGATAGCGGTACGCAGCACACAACCGTCGAGCAAGATAACGTTCGATTCGTTTACCAGCCCCTCGACGAGCTCTACATGGTTCTCATCACCAATCGACAGTCCAACATTCTCCAGGACATTGACTCCCTACACCTGTTTGCCCAGGTAGTTACCAGCACATGCAAGAGCCTCGACGAGCGCGAAATCGTCAAGAATGCCTACGAATTGCTCAGTGCTTTTGACGAGCTTGTCACTCTCGGCTACCGTGAGAACTTGACCATTAGCCAAATCAAGACCTTCCTTGACATGGAGAGTCATGAGGAGCGCATCCAAGAGATTATCGCAAGGGTAAGAAGTTCCATTGGAACCTCCATCGCAGACACATACTTACACCTGCATAGAACAAAGAGTTGGAGGCCACCGAGGAGCGAAAACGAAAGGCGAAACAGCTCGAGATGCAACGCAAGGATGCTGCTCGCAGTGGTCGCGGAGCTATGGGCGGCATGGGGGGAATGGGTAGCAGCGGTGGTATGCCCAGAAGTCCTTCCTATCCCTCATACAACCCCCCTTCGCAATCCAATACCAGCACCTACGACTCATACGAGGCGGAGAAGAACAAGTCCTTCAGCAAGTAAGTGGCACTTACAGTGTTCTGGAATACAATTGGCTAACACTTTCAAGACCGTTGGCTCCTAAGGCCAAGGGTATGCAATTGGGTAAGAAGTCCAAGACAACTGACATGTTCGAGCGAGTACGAGGTGACATGGGAGGCGAAATCGACGATTCACCTCTTGTTGCACCCGCACCCGTCCAGCATGCTGAAGCCGCCGAACCTCGCTTCTCGTCAACCCTTGATCGCGATGCTATCCACGTCACTATTTCAGAGACTATCTCGGCCAAGTTGTCTCGTGAGGGTGCTGTCAACTCCCTAGCCATCAGTGGTGATCTCGTTCTCCGCATTTCAGACCCTAGCCTGACAAAGATCAAGCTTGGCCTCCAAGCTGTTGCGTCGCATGGCGTACAGTTTCGTACACACCCCAACGTTGACCGAAATCTGTTCAACGGTTCCAAGATCATCCAGATGAGCAACACTGCACGTGGCTTCCCGGTCAACAACGCCGTTGGTGTTCTGCGATGGAGGGCTTCTCCCAAGGTTGATGACGCCAGCGCATGCCCAATTACCTTTACTGTCTGGATCAACAAGGAGGGGGCCAAGTACAACATAACGGTCGAGTACGAATTGACCGGCAGCGATGCTCTGAACGATGTTAGTGTCGTTATTCCCTATGCAGGTAGCGAGCCTGTTGTTTCAAGCTTCGATGCTACCTATGATGTGTCTGGCGACGCTCTCGAGTGGACAATTGGCAACGTGGACGAGGAGAACCCCAATGGCTCATTCGAGTTCGAGGCCGAGTCCGGTGATGAGAATGACTTCTTCCCTATGACGGTTCGCTTCAACAAGAGCACACCATACATTGACGTTGACGTAAGTCCCTATCCCGACCTGCATACTTGAGTATCATGCTAACCATTTCACAGGTTCACTCCGCGTCTCTTTTGGAAGAAGAAGAGGAAGTGACATTTTCCAAGGAGATCAAGTCTCACGCAGACAACTTCTTGGTAGAATAGACGGAACCCAAAAGTCTTTCGGTTTAGGAACAGCTTCTGGGCGAATTTACTCTATAAAAGGATAGGGATATGTATTTGAGTAGAGCTGGAGATAGGCATTAGTAGGAGTGTCTTGGCGGTTTAGAACCTAATGGCGCAACGACAATTGATGTTTCGTGTTTTGGTCATTTTGCTAATAAGCGGCCGTTGTTCGTCATTATTGATTGACACGAAATAAGCTTCCATACAGATAACCATTACGCACGCAATACCTAGTGAATGTTGTTGGGAAGTTGAGACACAAGATCGATGTATTTGTATTCATCAGCTTTGTCATGGCCTCCTCGATGTTTTTTTCTTCCTCACTGCATATTATATCGTGCCTAGGCCATATAGTGCGAGTTACTCACTGCTGCACGGTCCATACTCACTAAATCCTCCCTGTGGGCTTGTTGTTGCTCGATCGCAACTTGCATACGACATTGCACTCTCCAAGCAACACGAAAAGTGATACTAGTTTGCAGCTCATAGGGATGTTGGAAGTCCTCTAAAATTACCTCTCATGGCCTGTGTCAACGCCGCAGATAAACATGTCGCAGCGAAACCAACTTGCGCCCTTCAGCGCGACTGAGTACCGAGACAGAGCACCTGATGGGTACCCTGTGAGCTGCCCGACGCTAGATCTCTCAGCAACTTGGGACCCAGTGGACAAAAACATACTTGTTTATAGACCTCCTGGTCAGGTTGTTTCCAAGATCCACCAAGTTGGTGCGCCGGGCCAAAAGGCACCAGACGCGCAGGCAGTTACTTGGAGGTCTGATGGTCAGTAAGCAAATATTCCATGATGGAGAAAACTACTCATCTAATCATCGTAGGCCAATTTCTTGCAGTCGGGTGGAGTGACGGCTTTGTGCGATTGATGGGGCTCGAGAACAACAAGGCAGCTCATCATATCAAAGTTGGCGAATCTCCAGGGAGCAAGATCACGCACATTGGATGGGCGAGTAGCAGTATCACTGGGAAGAGCTCCAGCGCCGTATCCCAAGCTCTGAAGGATGGCCTCGGTGAATATTCAACGCGCAATGGGGATGGACTTCCGTTGGATCTTCCTCGTGAACTGACTTTCCTCGAGGTTGACACAGCATTACCCAAGATCAGCCCTCTTCCCAGCAGTAGTGCCGGCTCAGGGTATATTCTCAGCTTCCACGGTCGAACCCAGCATACATACTAACAATCCCCTCACAGAGAAGATGCTTTGGTTTTCACGTTGAGAACCGGTATAGACTTCCTCTTCCAGCCCCCGAAGCCAGAGGAGTATGATCAAGTCAGCGTTATGATTATTGGGACCAGCGATGGCCAACTTCAGCTGAGCATATACGATTCTTTCATCATCGGCAGCTTTCAGTGCCCTCGGATCAGTTCATCAAGCTCACAGCTAATTCTTCATGCATCGCACCCACATATATCAACCCAGGCTTTACTAGTTGCAGACAAAACAGAAGAGCCAGAAGAGGTGCACCTGGTGCCCATCGACCTTCCATTCATCTCATCCCACCCTATCAACCTTTCTCTCCTTGCCTCCAAGCTAACCACTCTTCAAAAGCTACTGAGATATCTGAAGCAAGCACAACTTCATATGCAGGTCGAATGGCGAAACACGCGTGAGCTTCCCACAAGATTTCTGCGAAGTATTGAAGGCGATCTCGAAAATCTCGAGACTGGGCCCCGAAGTATTGTCCCTGCTCTTTACCATTTGGCAGTGACAGGTCACGCCTTCGAGCCTGTACGCGAGTGGTTGGTAGAAAGTCTGGCAGAACGAGTAAGTGACTTGGGAATTCAGGCTTCTCGTGATATTGGCTAAATTCTGCAGGGCCATAAACGATGGGATAAAGCAGTAGTCTCTGGCTTGGAGGGACTCAGAAATTTGGTCCACGAGAACTTCCTCCCAGCTCTTGATCGCTGTGCAATCATCCTAAGTAGACTACGGAGCTTGGCTCAATTTCATGACACCCGTGATGACATCGGATTCACTCTCCAGCAAACTAGTCGCTTGATGGATATTGTCCAATGTCTTCAGCTCATCGGTCACAAAGTATTGATGAACGTCATGGACGAACTTGATAGCTTCACCGCGTTCTCAACATGGCTTCGCTTCCAAATCGACCGGCTTGCCTCTTCTAGCTCCGTGAGCGAGGAACTCACGGAAAAGGAGGCAACCATGGACATTGCAAAGGTCCTGAGTTATATTGAGAATTATCTAATCGATAGCCCGCTTAGGCTATTCTTTGACGAAATGACCAGAGAAGACTATGAAGCAGACTGGGCACACATAGAAGGTGGTCCGACTCTGCTTCATGTCCTTGATCAGGCGTTGGGAAAGTGGGAGAACGGGCAGCCCAGCATGAAAGCTCTCCCACGTGTCGAATTTCTTGTATCGTATGCCACAACCTGGGCGAATCG